CTTCAGATTCCCAGCGTCTGCAATATTTTGCTTTTACTTCAGTCATTTGATGCTGCCTCAGAAGATGCAATTGCATTGGGGAGTCACAGCTTCCTGACTTGTTATTCCTCCATCGCCCTTGAAGGAACTGTAGATGGTTAAAAAGTAATGTTGCTGACAGTGACAACATTGCATTGTGCCTATCACAGCATCTCATTTAGTGGCAGCCTGAGTGAGTGTTGTCATATTTAATGTTATCACCAAGTATGTGAGAGACCAATCTCTCCATTCTCTATGCCCATGGATTGTGCCAACTTCCTGATTACTAAAGGCTGTTCCTCCACAGTAGTCAATATGATTGCAGCTGTGGGATTCAACCTCAGACCACATGGAGAGAAAACAAAGAACTCAGGGTGTGAGGAGTAGAATGTACGCAGGAGAAGGAAGGCAACTTTAGCAGAGGGCGGTTGTGAAGGATCCGTGAAGTTGAGTGTTAGCTCTTCAGAAAGGGATACGAGGAGGTGCATGGGGAGAGATAGAGAGAGGAAACAGTGGAGCTGCAAGCGGTGTCAGTCTGAGAAGGGCTATTTGAAAAAAATCTTGGAATAATAGTACATGGTTTGCATCAGTAATTATTATTCCAGTCACCTTTCCTGCCCTTCTGTGGTCAATAAATCTCTTTTCATTACAATTCTGTTTATTACTCCTCTTGTGGCACTACTGTTTAATATCTCAATAATTGTCTGCCATGCCTGTTTGATTTCCAAGACTAGCCTCTCACTTCTATTCAGTAGTGCAGTGATTGGAACCATGGCTAAGTGGATCTCAGTGACTACGAGATCCTTGATTGGGGTTGTTAATCAGGGAGTCCTAGCTGACAGATACAAACAGGAGATTCGGAAGGTCTCCTCAGTCTAGGGACAGGCTTGGAGCTGGTTGGTCGCAGGCTGTGTAGACCGCATAAGTAAATAAAAGATGACCTGGTGACGGGATACCAGCCTCGGTGCAATTATTTCACATGCTAACACCGTTTCTCTTCTCACTCAATCATCTCCTTCAAGGAAGAGTCACAGAACCATGGGATAGCCTTGCAATCTATTCATATTGTCATTCCTCTTTTTTTCAACAAGGATTTTTGGATGCACTCTGCTGCTTGCAGGGTCTATTTAAATATAATGCCTTACAGTGACAGTTGTTTCGATCATCATACCTAACCTCTGCCAATGGTAAAAAAAAAACCTGGAAGCTAATGTCATTGCTGGGTTAAAGAGACATGACAACACATGCTGGAGGCACCAATGGTACCAGGCGGCTGCTGATCTCCTTCACTGTAATTACAATTGATTTCCACCTCCTACTTACAGAATTTAATCTCAAAACTTGGTGAATTGCATAAAGGTGGCTTCCAATATGCAGTAAAAGACTTCAGAACGACAGACAGATAAGTGGAATCAGCAGATTGTACCTGTTCTAATTTTATGCAGTTAAATAGGAAGATGCTGAAGGGTGCATAATCATATAAAAGTTTCAGGTCAAACGTAAAATTCCCTGAAAGTGCGATTACAGGAAGTTAAACCTTAAAAAAAACCACCAAGAACATGTGAGTTTTAAAGTGAGGGAGTAGGGTGAAGAAATAAATTTGTATAAAATATTTGTCAGGCCGCAGGTTTATTGTTGTGTGCAGTTTTGGGTGCCCCATACCAAATAGAACCGTAAAAACCAAGGACAGTATAAAGCATAGATTGACTAGTACAATGAAATGGACTAGGTCAATGCCAGAGATTGGAAACTAGTGCTCTGAGATGAGATTCTCGGTCTGCATCCAATGGAGGAAAGGAGAATGAGATTTAATAGAGATGTTAATTATGAAGAGTTTTGTTGTTTTGAACAGGAAAAGGTGAGTTCCTGTGGTTAGAGCGACAGCGCCAAAATTTTATGCATTTTGAATTGCTGCTACAGACAAGAAAAGAGAGATTAGCAACGTTATCCCAAAAGAACTGACACAAAAACTGAAATTGCTGGAAAAGCTCAGCAGGTCTTGCAGCATCTATGGAGAGAAATCAGAGTTAACATTTCCAGTGATCCTTCTTCAGAATTTTTTATTTGTGTTTCTGATTTCCAGCATCCACAGTTCCTTTGGCTCCTAACAGAGCTGCTTGTTTGAAGATGGAATGGTTTGCAACAGAAAATGAGAGTATCCTGTCAGGAGAACAACAGATACATGGTTGAAGGAAAGGTTAAAGGAAGCCAGCAGTTCAGTGGAATTAGTGCTAGAACCAATGCAGGGATGATGGACTGAATGAACTCTCTGTGTTCAGTTTTATGGTTCTATTTACATCATATAATTTACATCATAAACTTTATAGAGTTTGATGATCTTGTACCCTATTATAACAGATTAGCCAATACAATGTGATAATTTGTGCATAATTTACTAGAAGCAACCCTTTCTCTGAAGGAGCCATTGATAAACTCATGAGATTACACAAGCAGACACAAACACACATGACACAGGGTTCCAAATGTGGACTTTTCATCCAGATTTAATAATCAAAAATTAAACGCCCAAACCCTAATACCAGCAATAAAACAAATACAGATGAGTTTCTGTACACTGTCATTAATTTACAATGGAGCCAGAATCTGTCATTAGAAATATACAAAATGGCAGCGCACCGCACCTTTAAACAGCAAACTGCACCATTAAACAGCCACTTGACAATCGAGAACATTTCTCTCCTTAAACAAAGATACAAATAATTTTCCACCTTGAGTGAAAGCAGCTTTCCTTTTGAGGAGATTTCGATATTCAAAGTTCTACAAATCCTTGAAAAGACCTTGCTTTCAAAGGAGTGTTTTGGAGATTTAGGGCCCTGACATCAGAGAGAGTGCACATTGTAAAATGTAGTGACATTGCGTGACAGCATTGTACATCAAAATTGTCTAATTAACACAGAACCGCAGAGCAATAGGCCATTTGCTATTCATTACCACATGCATAATACTGATCTCTATCAGAGTAGTTGCCATTTCATTGAGATTGAAATAAAGTTTAGCTGAGGTTAAAGGGGCACTGTCTATTTTGTTTAAGAGGCAACAGAGGAAATCTTGAAGCCGAACTGGTGGAATGACTTTGTGCAGTGATATTCATGTTTGCAAAGATTGTGTTTCTTTTTCAACTTAGACATTGCCCCTTTAAAGTAGCAATTATTGAATTGACTTTACCAAGTAATCTGTCACTGAGCACTTTCATCTGCCATGGGTGCATCGGGTCTCCGCTAAACTTTTGCTGCACCACTGCACCACCGAACTTCTCATGAAGAGCTGAGCTCGTCTCTTCTGCTGCTCTACAAAACCTCTGTGGCTTCAAGCTGCTGCTGCTTTTCCACTCTGTCATCACTCAGGAGCCTGGGAACATCCTCGATTTGCAGATGGACTTGACTGACTGAAAAGGACCATCCCCAATGCCACACAACAATAGCTACAGCAAAATTAAAAAAAAAAGATCCACCTGGTCTTTAATCAACTAATAAAGTTTACTCTTTGGATCAGGAAAAACACAACATAGCTACAACGAAATATAAAGAATTTGCCTAGTGTCTCATTTTGATTCAGATACGTTTTGTCAGGTTTCTCCAGAGCGCTGTGGCAACTAGTATCCATTGGAGGGGGTTCCAAGTGTGTACCCATTCCATTCATTAAAAAGCAGAAACCCTTATCTCCAAGACCATCCATTTGAACGTCAGATCATAACACAGGCAAGATAACATCACCAGCTTCCCCTATTGCTTCCTATCCAGCCTTCACAAGAAATAAGAAGATAAAAAAGCATCTTAAGGTCTTTTACCCTTGCCTATCGTGAACTCTTTACTGTCTGAGTAAGATCATTTTAGGATAATTGAGAAAAAGAATTATGAGCAGATATAAGGGGTTTTTTTTAATGCAGTGAGTTATGATGAAATACGCTTCCTTTGTGGGAAGTGTCATTGGAAAGGGAAATTTTGAAGGGCTGTGGGTAAAAAGCTGAGGTCTGAGGCTAACTGGACAGTTATTTCAAAATGCCAGCCCAGACAAGATGGGCAGTGTGGTCTCATTACCAGCTGTCTGATTCTGTGTGATATTAATGCTGCTCTAGTTTAAACTGTGGCTGTCTGCAGTTCAATATCTGTAAGATTTGACTGATACATTTAACCAATTATTCTACTGGCCACACCTTTTTTTAAATTTGTATTCATTTGTGTTAGTCCTAGGGTAGCAAGATGGAGAATGTTTAGTGTTTCCCCAAAATGATCTACGATTGCCTGTGAATGGCCTGAGTCAGACCACACGCCTCCCTGTTCAAATTAAAATCACAAAAAGATTTTGTGTTAGGCTTCGAGCGTTTTGGATCACAACTGGTCTGATCTAGAAATAGGAAACTTGACTGAGCAACCACAGCACACCGGACTTGCATATACAGTAAAAACAATGCCATCGAAAAATATTAGTTCCTCAACACCAAATATTAAAATAATCGTACAGTGGAAACGAAGAAAAGTAACAGCTCACACCAGTTCTTGTTTCTGTGCTGGTGTTTGCTACAGGGACATGGGTCAGGAATGTTAGTAAGGACAGGCTGTCATTTCTAAGCACTCCATCGTTTCAAACAGAAAACAGACAAAATGCATTACTCCCCATCCCAGCTAAGGTTCAACAAACGTCCACTCTTTTCCCAATCAGGAAGGAGCACGGTGAAAATATTCCACTTGTGTCACCAGAGTCCTGGGTATAACGTGGGGAGGTGATATTGGTTGAATATGGGTTGAAGAAGCCAGTTTGGGGAGGGGGAAGGAAAAAAGAAAGACCTCCGCTCGTCTGTTAGCTCCTGCGATCGGACAGTTCTCCAGTTTGGAAATGAAGACCGTCGGAGCGGGTGGGGGATCCGGTGCGCACGAAAACGAAACACCGCAACGAAAATCGAGAATGGATTTATCCCCACATCAGCTCCTGGCGCTGTGCTGGGGGCCGGTGGGGTTTTGGGGCTAACTGCATAACTTGGTGGTCTCGTACTCGACCGAGTTGATGAGTTTGGCGTTGAAGGCCTGAAGGGAGGCTTGGATCCGGACCACCTCACTGGTGGCCAGCTTGAGGCGGTGGCGGAGCAAGCAGGTGAAGAGATCGAGGCGTTGGTGGCCGTAGGGGGAGAGCCTGTTGACGCGGTCGCGGATCTCCAACAGCTGCAGCAGGGCGGAATCCTGCGATCCCTGGGTGTACGGGTAGTCCAGCTGCAGGATGAGGTCCCGAATGGCGTCTGGGTCGAAGTGCATGCTGTAGCCGAAGACCTGGGCGTGACCGATCTTCATGTAGCCCAGGTTCCGGGACGGGTCGATGAACTCCAGGGGCTCGTAGTACACGCTGTCGTTGCCGCTCGACTTAATGCGGCTCCTCAGGTAGATGTGGACCGTTTCGAAAAACGTCTTCCACTTGTTGCCCAGCATCAAGGTCCAGTTGTAACACTGCAGGGGCACATCCACTTTAGTCCTCTCCCAGTCAGGATAGCTGTCCTCGTTTACCGGCATGAACCAGCTCTCGGAGTGGCTGCCTCCGAAAGGGTTCACGTAGATGGCCAGCACCGGCTCCAGGGTACTGTTTTTAGTCAAACAGATCTGTATGGTCATGCCCAAGATCATGTGGACAAAGTTGGTCTTGTACTTGTTGCTCTTCAGGGTGAGCAACATGCGCTTCCTCCACGAGGGGTCGAACCAGCTGTTGAGGCGCACGTCGTTGCTGATGAAGATAGCCGGCACGATGATCCTGCTGTCCCGTTTCTGCAGCAGGTACCGGATTTCCACGTCCCGCAGGTCCTGCTCGGTCTCGAAGCCGATGTACTGCTCGGTGGGGTCAGCCACCTCCGGACGGCACGACCCCTGGCTCAGCATGTAGCCCGCGTTGCAGGCGCCGCACCGGGTCCGGTTGTCGGCGGCGCACGTCGCGCACGAGGTGCCCTCGCCCACCGAGCAAGGGATGGCCTTCTGGCAGCTCAGCGGGTCATAGGGGCAGGTGCAGCCCCGGGTCTCCTCGGAAAATACGCCGGCCAAGCCGTTGTCGCTGCAGTACAGGAAGGACTGGACTCGGTTGAGCCAGTAGGTCATCGCCCTTCGGAGAGGAACACAGAATCGCGGTAAATCATCCCGTGAAAGGTGGAAATGAAGACACCCCTTCGCCCCCCACCACCCCCAACCGAAAAAGAAAAGAACTTCAGCAAAGGAGGTAGTAGGAACTGCAGATGCTGGAGAATCTGAGATAACAAG